TATTTCTTGTTCCGGGCGGTTATGGCTCGGTGCTAAATTATCACCCCGGTGGACGCGTGTCCGAATCCCACCACCACCGCCTGACTTTCTCCATTTGTGTGTTAAATGGCAGCCCTTTGTTTGGTCGGTTTCCCGTTCCTGAAAAGTGTATCATTGTGTATGCAATAAAAGGAAGTAAAATGAAAAAAATGAAGGAAATGTAAATATATCCCCCCAGTCACTTAATGATGATGCAAGACTTGAGGATCATTGTACTTTTACAAACATAACATCCTGATCTGGCAAGGAACCGGTGAAAATAAGGATTTCAGTTGAAGTGAACATGACAGTTGAGACAAGTAACCGATGGACGAAAACCAGAACCTGTGACGTGACTTTCATTTGGAGGGAAAGTGACTAGTTGGAATTCGGGCATCAACAGATGCACTCTAACCGCGTGACAACACATGTAATTAGAGTAGCTCTTCTCTATTTGTTGACTAAACATCTACTGTACTATATTACCCTTCTAACTGTTTTCATTCTTCCAGTCTGGTCGAATGTCGAATGAGAACTGTACAATCACGAGGGTATTTGGGTCGTTGAATCAGAACTCTTTAGAAAGCAGTATCTCGTGCACTGGTCGAAAAATGCAGCTGTAGCAAAGAAGACAATGTAGCTAATTGTGGGGAATACTGACTATTACCTCGATGAACACTAAGTAGTATGTGAAAGACCTCACTCATTGAGAGAATTTTAATTGAAAGTACGCATTGCTGACTAGTTCCAAACAGGACGAAACAGCTGTCCAGAGCTCTCTTTTTCGGTCACCACAAATGTTTCCGTCGCAATTAACTGTACCACACTATTTTCAGTCACTCCCTAGATTGTTATTTCAAGAAAAACTGTTCTCAAAAGCTCCATATAAGGATTCAGTTTTGGAGTTCCAGTGGGTGAATGGTCTGTATACGCAACCGCATAATCGATCTCCGATCGTTTTACAACCTGTACTATAGCCACTAAATTTGTATACCACAATTTCTTTCTCATAACTTTATCCAGTTTACTGATTAATGGCAGGGAAATTTCTTACAAATGATCCACCACAGAAGAAAACGTTTTTCCAATTATAAGCTTTGTGATAACATTAGATTGACACAAATTTAAGCATTACATTTTCTCGAGGTTTCATCTGCTAGCGTCCATACACAGTTCTGTGCACTCAATCGCTTCGATGACACGGCTAGTTCACAAGTTTGTCAATGCGATGGAAATGTTTGCGATGACCGACCAAGAGCACAGGACAGCTGTTTTGTCCCGTTTTGGATCCGTCAGTTGTGCGTACTTTTTGTGTTCGACGATTCATCGGGCTAGGACTTCAAATCCTTACCCGTGAAATGAATACAAACAGTGGAGAGTAAAAAAGATCTCCCAAGGACTGAAACCCACGCCGAACATCATCAACAACAGTGCCTGGTGCCTGTTGAAAACCGAATGGGATAATCCGAACATTCTGCATATGAAAGGTTCACAAGTAATCCCCTACCATTGGATACCTCACTTGAATGCAGCTAACTGAGCCACACTATTGGTAATTACAAGTTTGGATTGACCCATTCGATTGGTCAGATGTACAAAGCAATCTTGATGATCTTTAGTGTGGGTTTCACTCCTTCGAAGATCAGTAGAGTTTTTTACAAGCACCAACGTGCGGTGGTTTTGGTTGCTGTCTTTTGATTGCTCATTTGGATGAAGAATAGTGGAAAGACAGGAAAGCTGAAAGTAGAGTCGAGCAGAAAATCGAGAATTTCAATGATCTAAGGTTGCACAGAAACTAAGAAGATGCACGAACGCCACTGTTTACGACACACAGTGATATCACGCAGCGTCTCTAACCCTCGGTTACGATTATCCCGAGGTCCCAAGCTAGGGAGCCTAACGGGACCTAAGTGAACCAGTAGCCTGTTTAGGGATTTCATACCCTAGTGCCAGGTTTTAGCTTGACCACCCTTGGATTTATTCCATCCACTACCTGTCTCGGCAAACAGTGCTCACCGTGAATACTCGTCTGGTGACATGCGTAACATATGCCACAACCAACGCAATCTATGGAGGTCGACCACTTAATCTAGTGGACGACCACGGTTATCCCAAAACTCTGTGCTTAACCTCAGCATTACTCGTTCAGCTGCCAAACTATATTCGTGTAATGCTGCGTAGGCAGCGGTGTTTGAACACCGATAGTCTATCTTTATCCTGTTTCTTTAATGACCAAGTTTCTGCTCCATAAAGCAAAACTCACCGAACTGCTGCAGCATATACTTGACCCTTCACAGACGACCGGATATCGCGACGGTGCCACAGATGTCTCAGGTTAGCAAATGTCAACCGAGCCTTCTGTATGCAAGCTGACACTCAATCCGTGAGGCGTCCAGCAGGTGAGATGAATGAGATGCCCAAATAACAAAACATATTAACTTGCTCTATTACTTCCCCGGTTAGAGTTAGGCTGAGTGCTGGACCAACCGAGTTCCGTAGTAACATCTTACACTTTGGAGGTGCGAAACGTATATCAAACATAGCTACGCTGGCATTCAAGCTATCCAGAAAAGCTTTCAGCCTCCCTGAATCTCCGCTCAGCAGCACAATTTTGTCTGCATACTTCAGGTCAGACAGTCCGCCACCTAGGAGTAAACCGATGCCGCAAGCTCGGACTCGATTTCGGCTATTGGTATAAAGCGATCGTAATATTGAAGTAAACTTCTCGGGCACACCCTTCAGGAGAAGGCAGCGCCAGATTTTAAAACGTTCGACTGAGTTGTTGAGCCCGCAATAGTTGAATGCGTTTGTAAGCGATAGATCGCTCTGTGATGATGACCGAGAAAGAGTGCACGGGTGATCAATAGTGCGTGGTGTTTCGGAACAATGGAATGGAGTATTCCAAATTTATCAGCTTTACCAGAAGAACTCCAGTTGGAATTAAGGCAGCAATAAAGGCCGTTTAATCGTGCAACGAATTACGTCGTTAAGGCAGTGATCCTCTATCTATTAAATAAAATAATAATAAATATTTTTTCTTTTTAATTCTGCTTTCTTTTATTGAATGCACAATAATACAATTTTCAAGAAAGTGGAAGCGGTCAATCAAAGGGCAGTCATGGCAAAAGTCAGACAATGGTGGTGGGGTTTGAGCACACGTCCCCCGAGATGATTTTGTGACCTTACCCCCGGGCCACCACCGCCGCAGTCAGTCGGATGGATTAAAGACAGAAGATGTGGTAACCAACTGTCAGATAATAAACTTTATCTGGTTGAACAGATATATATATATATATTACACCAATAAGTATGTAAAAATTTATGTAAAAGGTAACCATCAGTTTTGCGGTTCTTACCTCTTGTCAGGTACACGGTTCCGGTATATATGTGTGTGTACGAATATAGATATATAAGTAAACATGCCTACGGCTTCCGACCTGGCACACAATCTGTCCGGAATAAAAGATCACACATTTTGGGGGAAAGCATTCTAACGTCTGCGAATTCGGTCCATCACCTTACAGGTAGGACTTGACGATACCAAAGTTAGCAGCCGATCCTCAAAGAAAACGGTCCCACTGATGCACATTTGTGCCTTATTTCCAAGCCTCTTCACAGAATGAACCACGTCGACAACTTATTTTCAAGGTGGAGTATTTAATATAAATGAGACCACATTCAGACGTAAGATTTCGCTCACAGTTTGACTGCATGTCTATGGTGAACCTAGTCTACGAGATGATGCATACTCTGGAGAGACGCGTTACAGTTTTAAGACAACTGTGATCAATCAAGCTTACCAGGTGACGTCAGCAATGCGCGTAAGTGTCACAGCTTCTGGATTACAAACCATAGACCGGGTGTACCAACCAATCAGGAACCGTGCGGCTCAGACAGAAGCTGAACAACACCAGAAATATTGGCACGCGAATAACCAATTCACTCGTTCTATACATATTCTTTAATCCATCTGTTTTTTTTTTCAATAGACGAAATACAAGTCCTGTGGCTTTTTCTCGTGTCTCGGGATACTACCGTGCAGGTACCGGTGTGGTCCAGTGCTCACGTCTCATCCGTGACTATTAATCTGTGATTCGTATTAGGTGTTCAATGCATACCACAACTACAATAGTGTCTCAAGGTAAAATTATTTCAAGTGCTAGCAAACCCCTTCAAATATTGAAGCGAACAATTACCATCGAACCGAAACCTCCTCCTCTCTCAGTTACAAACGCTTATCAAAATATCGACAGCTAATTCATAATTACTACATATTGCTTTCAGTATTATCTTATTTGTGAGCTACCAGCTTCAAATAGACAGAAAAGAAAAGAATTAAAAAGAAAAAGAAAGTAAGTCAAAATCATCATCAACCGAATCACACTCAACATCAAAATCATCAGCATCATCATCATCATCATCATCAGCAGCAGCAGCAGCATCATCATCATCAACATCGCCATCATAATCATCATCAACATCAACGTCATCATCATCTTCATCATCATCATCATCAGCACCAGCAGCAGTAGCATTATCACCATCATCAACATTATCATCATTATCTCCCGCAGCAACATCTTCATAAATATCATCATCATTATCAAGATCAGCATCAGCACCATGATCATAATCATCATCATCAATATCATCACCATCATCACCATCATCATCATCATCACAATCAACATCACCATCATCATCATCATCGTCATCATCATCCATATCATCATCATCATCCTCATCATCATCATCATCATCATCATCATCATCATTATCATCACCATCATCGACATCATCATCATCATGAACATCATCATCACTATCATCATCATCATCAGCATGATCATCATCATCATCATCATCATCATCATCATCATCATGGTCATCATCATCATAATCACAGTCTTCAGCATCCTCAACATCAACATCATCATCGTCATCATCATCATAATCATCATCATCATCATCATCTTCATCATTAAAATCATCATCACCATCATCATCATCAACATCATCCACCGCAGCATGTTCATCATTATCATCATCATGGTCATCATCATCATAATCATCATCATCACCATCATCATCATATTCGTCAACATCATCGTCGTATTCATCATCATCATCAACATCACCATCATCATCTAATTGATCCTCAGCAGCATGATCACAATCATTATCATCATCATCATCATCATCATCATCATCATCAGCATCATCATCATCATCATCAACATCATTAAAACCATCATCAAAATGATCATCAACATCATCATCATCAACATCATCAGCATCTTCATCATCATCATGATCATGATCATCATCACCATCATCATCAACATCATCCTCAGCATCAAGAGCATCATCATTATGTAAATCATCATCACCATCATCATCATCATCATCGTCATCACGATAAACATCAACATCATAATCATCATCATCACCATCATCTTCGTCATCACCATAATCATCAGCATCATCATCACCATCATTACCATCATCATCATCATCATCATCATCATCATCGTCATCTTCATCATCATCATCATCATCATCATCTTCATCATCACCATAGTCATCAACATCATCAGCATTTACAACATCATCATCAACATCATCATCATCCACATCATCATCAACATAATCATCAACATCATCATCATTAACATCATCATCGTCATATTGATCATCATCATTCACATCATCATCATCATCATCATCATGAATATCATCAACATCTGCACCATCTCATAATCATCGTCATCAATCTCATCATCATCATCATCATCATAAACATCAACATCATCATCATCATCATCATCATCATCATCATCATCATCAACATCATCATCATCGTCATCAGCATCATCAACATCACCATCGTCATCAACATATTCCTCAGCAGCATGTCCATCATCATCATCATAATCACCATCATCAGCATCATCAACATCATCATCATCATCATCGTGATCATCATCATATGCACCATCATCAGCATCATCAACAGCGTCATGAAGATCATCATCAGCATCAGCATCATCATCATTTTCTTCATAATCATCATCATCATCACCGTCGTCATCAACATCATCCTCCGCAGCATGTTCATCATCATCATCATCATCATCATCAACATCATCATCAAATTCGTCAACGTCATCATCATCATCATCATCATCATAATCATCATCATCATTCTCATCATCATCATCATCATCATCATCATAATCATCATCATCGTCATCATCATCATCATCGTCATCATCATCATCATCATCCTCATCCTCATCGTCATCATCATCATCATCATCATCATGGTCATCATCAACATAATCACCATGATCAGCATCATCAACATCATCATCAACATCATCATCATCACGAAACTCATCAACATGATCATCGTCATCATCATCATCATCAGCATCGTCATCATCATATTCAGCATCGTATACATTATCACCATCATCATCAACATCATACTGAGCAGCATGATCATCATCTTCACCATCATCATCATCATCGTCATCATCAGCATCATCATCATCATCATCATCCTCATCCTCATCGTCATCATCATCATCATCATCATCACCATCATCTTCAACATTACCATAATCATTAGCATCAACATCATCATCATTACCATCATGATCGTCAACATCATCATCAAAATCGTCATCATCATCATAATCGCCGTCAACAGCATCATCATCATCATCAGCATCATCATCACCATCATCATCAGCATCGTCATCATCATCACCATCATCATCATCGTCATCATCATCATATTCACCATCACCAGCATCTTCAACATCGTTCTAACCATGATCATCATCATCATCATCATCATCATCGTCATCATCATCATAATCACCACGATGGGCATCATCAACCTCAACATCAACATCATCATCATCGTCATCATCATCATCATCATCATCATCATTATGAACGTCATCATCAAAATCATCATCATCAACATCATCATCAACATAATCATCAACATCATCATCATCATCTACATC